GATGCCTAAATGAGAACAGCTGAGGCCAGTTAATGATTTTGAAAAGTTTTTTGTTCTTCTGATTCTGAATGAAGCCACTTCACTGTTCCAGACTTTACTTCATACCATGCTGATGTAGAATTGGCATTTGTTTGGTGGAGCAGAGCGTGTACTAAAAAACAAACAAACAAAAGTTTAAAAAAAGACACTGCAGTGTTGTTTTGTGGCTGACTTTAAATGAAACTCACATGTGCTCAGACAAGAGATTCAGAGCAGAATTTAAATGTACACTTGAACCTCATTTGGATCTGAAGGAGGAAAATCGATCTCCTCTAATGGGTACATGTTGACTCCAGGAACAGGCTTTGGATTCTTTAAATCGTATCCCTGAGCCAAGAAATAAAGTACTTATGTATTTTTTATGGAGTGCTGATGAGTGTGCTCTTGAAGGTGATGCTAGGCTATGATTAGACTCAAGTCCAGCTGGCTGTTTAGTTAGTCTGTCTGAGTGAGCTGCACCAGACTGGTTTCACAGACTCTGTTGTAAATGCATCATTAAAGCTGTCATTTTTTCTGCAGTCATTGAAAAGATGGTGGATTTTGTGGATTATTTACATAACAGGTTAGGTATAAGGATTGTGCAGGGACGTAGAGACAGTCTGTAACTATAACTGTACAAAAAGAACAAATATTGCTGGGATATTGTGCGCAAGCATAATATCAGTATTAACTGACTGTTCATGGCCAAGTCACGCCCAGGCCAGAGAAAAGAGAAACGTGTCCCAGTGCTCCAGATGGGCAGTTTACCTGCCAGTGACTTTACTCTTGCAACAATGGCATCTCTTGGTCAGATGGCAACATTTTAATTTGTCCCAAAGGACGACTAACATTGCTGTTGAGTGTTTAAAGTACGTGAGAACCTGCAGGGTTTACAGGTGTCAGAAAGGAACAAAAACAAGTTTTTATCAGAAGTTTCAGTGTTGAGAGTAATGCACATTACACATCAGAGACAGGAATGACCTGTTAAATTTGATAATCACACTTGTGACAGAGATGAGGAGATTCTCTGGAAAGTGAAACTAAATCTTTAGTGAGAATGCAGGGGTAACAAATAAAATGAAAACCCAGAATTTCTGTGTAGTGTGATAGAGAGATGTTACAGAGCATGAGGTGACCCAGATCAGAAAAAGGATCTGGATTTACTCACATATACATATGTTGATCTTCTAACTGTCTTTAATAACCTAAACCTAAAATTTATTTTAACCTTTAACCTCAAACAGCCCTTTAAAATCATCTTTAAGTCAACAGCCTCTCACCATTCTTCACTATGTGCACACAAACACACTTAGTCCACCCCCAGGTCTCATTTAACACATTCAAAACAAGTTTGCACAGGAACACACATGCACGTAAACATGCATCCTGACATACAAACTTCAAGCCTTCACACCTGTGCTTGCACGTGTTCGGTGCTGGTGCAGCTTTAGTGAAAAAAGACACCAAAAATGACCTCAGCGGCCAAAATGGGGTGACAACAAAATCAGAGGAAGATGAATCGTGTTCCTAATGAAGCTCGGAGGAGACCAGCAGTCTGTCTGTCCAGCTGTCTGTTGCTCTCTTTTTCTGTCTGTCAGCAGAGCTAAAAGCTCCTACCCAATGAGGTCACCTTACGCAATATTTCTCACTTCTGCTACAACTGTCTCCCTAACTAGCTTCATGCTGAGAGTTCATAATATGAGAGCGATGGAGAAAATATTAAAATACTCAATATAAATTCAGCACTATGCTTTTGTAAATGTATGTAGCCTATGTGCAGTAGTATGATCAGTGATTGAAGGTCAAGTTTGATCTCAGGTCACACAAAAAATGTATTTGAGCATTTCGTAAATGTGCAAGTGAGAGCACGTAGTTCCTGAACAACATACCATTTTTAATGCATTTTGAGTAAAAAGGAGCTCTCCGTGCAGATGAAACAAGACATTTGTGGGCTGCAAAAACAGAATAAAATCCATCCAAGAAATTGCTAAAATATTAGGAGTAGAAAAATCTACAGTTTGGTACATGCTGAGAAAGACAGAAAACATTGGTGAACTCAGCGACCCAAAAAGACCTCGACATCCACGGAGGACAACAGTGGTGGATGATCACAGAATCATTTCCATGGTGAAGAGAAACTCCTTCACAACAACCAACCAAGTGAACAACACTCTCCAGGAGCTAGGTGTATCGATATCGAAGACTGTATGAACATAGATACTGAGGATTCACTGCAAGGTACAAGCCAATCATAAGCCTCAGGAATAGAAAGGCTAGATTGGACTTTGCTTCCCCGCACCCTCACAAACCCACTGAATTAAAGCTGAAAGTCTGCACTTCAACTGTGTCTCAGTTGTTTCACTGAAATTCATTGTGATAATGTACTGAACCAAAATGAGAAAAGTTGTCTCTGTGCAAATATTTATGGTCCTAACTTTACATTCAGTACACGTTACAGTTGAAATAATCACATCTACCCACCTGCCTTCACTCGTTTTTTGTTGGTTTTTTTGCACATTTCTAAAAAATCATCAACTTAAATCTTTATTTTTAAAGTTCCTATCGGGTCCAACATGTTTGGCTCTAGTTATCATTAAGCTGTGGCAAAGTGAATCATTTGGACACATGGTTGTTTAGAAAGACACACACCTGCGTGTATAAGGTCACACAGCTCATACTGCAAGTCAGCATTGCTTCTAATATTAATTCAAGATGAGCTGATCATTTCTTCAGAGCCAGCAATGAGAAGTTTTTCCTGTAACTCAGTCTTCTGAAGGAGGAGATGACTTGTATGATTTTAGGCCAGAACTCTGGGTGACTTTGTCTTTACAGTTGCCAGGTGGTAAAGAGGACACGCACAGATCTCCAAGTTCATGACTTGAACTTTGAAAGAGTCAAAAATATGATGCAACAGTATGACTTACTTTCCTCGGGCTGCCGCTCTGTGACCACTGACTCCTGCTTTGTGTCGAAGGCCAACATATCACCTACTAACCCCCATGTGACACATCTCTGGTGGCTGCTGCCTCCCAGTGACCCAAATACATCCCACTGGTGGTTATGACTTATGAATCTATGCTACACAGCCAGATAATAAGGACTAAACACCTACTGCTGTGGTGAATTAGACAACTGCAAGTGTGAAAAACCTTTGTTTTACACGCACTTGCAACTTTACAGGAAAGGAAATGCAGTACGTGGGTTCTTTCCGGGTACTACGGATTCCTCCCACAGTCCAAAGACATGCAGTTAGCGGGGTTAGGTTAAATGGTAATTCTCAGTAGTCCATAGGTGTGACTGTGAGTGTGAATGTTGTCTGTCTATATGTGTTAGCCCTGCAACAAACTGCCGACCTGTCCAGGGTGTACCTTGCCTCCTCCCCTAGCTTGAATAGGGAGGAAAATGTGAGAGGAAAAATAACAGAGAGAGGGGGGAGAGAAAAAGGAGAGAGGATCAAAGCAAATGTGACAGAGATTGAATGAAAGAAAAAGTGCAAAAGAAACAAAAGACAGTGTTTATTTTTCTTTCATGTCTGCGGTTCTGATTTATGCTGCTGAAGATGTGGCGTCACATTTGTGTCCCAGTGGTTCACCACACGGTCTTCTTGCTCCACCATCAGGATTGTTCTACATACTTATTCAAATTTATCACAAAGGATTAGAAATAATTAATCTTATACTCAAATGAATTCGATGCGGTTTCTCCTGGGGGCTTTAAATATTCAAAAATAATAATGACGAGACTCGGAGGGTCCTTTTAAAGGATTTATTGCCTCTTTCTCATTAAGTTGGTCATAAATCAAAAGGGTTAGTTCAGTGATTTTACAGCCAAAGTGGAATGAATGAGAAGTGGGAGACATTTTTAAATCTTAGCCAGCGATGCGAGCAATGTAAACAACACACACGTCAACATATATCAGTCAGCCCTGTGTCTTAATGCCAGTTAAACACAGCTCATGTGATTTGATCACAGCGATACTATGCAGACATATTCACAGTCAAGGCATGTTTTATGTCAGACATGTTCACAATCACCCAAAGCCTTCTTAGCACAAAGATTAACATTTCATTTGCTGCCATTAAACATTCATCAGATGATTTAACACAATCGTTTTGTTTTTCCCCGCCATAAATCCTGAGACTGATGTGTTCGAATCTCTTACAGCAAACAGATCACTTCAATGAAAGGAGCATTTCATTTTAAATAGGCCACAAAAGGATTGCCACTTTAAGAAAACTCAATAATATTTAACACAATATAGTGTGTTCATCAGTCTCCTTTAGAGGTATTAGAGGTGGACTCTGTCACAGCCAGGTGTCTCAGATTTCTTTCGTCGTTAAGCTAAGCTAACCACCTGCTTCAAATTCATGAGAATCAACCTTCTCATCTAACTCTCAGCAAAGAAGTCAAATGGTAGATTTCCCAAATTATCAAACTGTTTCTCTAATTTCCAGACCATCAAACCTCGTACAGTCACCACTGTTTGGGACTCATGTGGAGATTCTTCAAATCTGCCAGATTTATTCTCATTTCCATAATGATGAGTTCACCACACGGCCGTCTTTGCAGGTAAACTGCAGCACATGTGGAAAACTCTTCATGGTTGTTTCATTAACAGAAACCAGCAGGCTGTGAAAACTGCAAGTGAAAATCTGGAGCACTCAGACTTCTTCCACTGCACAAAGAAACTGTCAGTTTGTTTTCTCATTTCCAATAATATTGTGTCATTTTCCTCTAAACCTTTAAATCCAGTTGATATAAATGATTACTGCATGTTTCATATAGAAAGTGAAGCTAAGCTTTGGGCTAACCTCTCTCACAGCAGTTTCCCCTCTAAAATAAATACAAAAAAGCAACAAAAAAAAAAAGAAATGTCTGATAATAAGTCCTACATTTCTGCTCTGATTCATTTTAACCAGACTTGATAATGTGTCGGTTAATTCAAGGTCAAGAAAATTACTTGGGGTGAAAAAATAGCCCACTTCGTATTTGAGCAATTTTAATTTTTCTGCCTCCAGTTTGATAGAAACTGAGTAGGACATGCAAATATTTCATCCTTCTTAGCTTATGTAGTTCTTTAAACATGCAGCAAAATATGTAAAAATAGTGATAGTCTGGATTTGGCAGCTGATTTTCTGATTTGCAAATATATTAGCTAATCAGAAGCACCCAGAAGTAAACAAACATGATTTCATAATGTAAACATACATTTTTACATTTAATACACCAGAAAGAAAACTGTTAATGTATTCATCACTCACATATTGTAACATCAGCATCTCATCCAACTATTTCAGATTCACTAATTCTGCAAACACGTGAATAATTTAGAAGATTATTGATTCCTGTAAAGATTTATTCAGGAAATTTGGATAATAGCAATTAAACTTGTGCCTCACGTCTGGAGATTCATGTACAAATTCACCTGTATTATCAATTTCTAATCAAACCCAATATGAGCTGAAGTTGTTAAATGTGAATGCTGACATACACGTGAGAATTTTGAGCCATGTAACTGCATCCACCCTGATGACAACGCTGTAATGCTCCACATTTCACAATGTGAAAAGGAGAGAGTAACTTAAACTCCACTTCAGAGTAAATTTATCATCTTATATAAACTCCTTCTGACCTTGATCATCATGATGCTTCATCAACTGTTCCTTTGTTTTTAGGATCAACATTACAACTACTCAGATCACTGCTGCAAAAATGAATAATTTACAGAATTAAGATTTATGTTCCAGTACAGAAATCATCATATTTTCTTTTTTTAAATTTGTCTCCTGCAGCCTTCACTTAATCTTTGCTGTGTTGCTCTTTACATGTGATTCACAGCAGGATGCAGAAAGCAAAGGTGTGTTGATGTAGTGCTCTGCAGTGCCTGCAGGGGGACAAAAACATTCCAGATCAAAAATGAAGCTCTGCTCGCAGTAGGAGCCACCTACTGGGGAGGAGATGCAGACACATGAAAGAGGAACACCTGCTACTCGGGACATCACGCATAGCCCTTAAATATCATTGAGATGGCGCATATAGAGTGATGGCTTTAACGCATTAATGCTTCACTCTCTCTGAGTGAAGTGATTCTACAGCTCTGTGGGTGTGTCATGTCTCTGCTTTGGGTTCAGTGTGTGGGAGTTACACTCAGTGTGATGCACAGGAAGCTACGGACACAGATGCAGGTGAGATGCAGGTCACGGTCGACGACTCAAAACTGGATCCAGTTTGTGGCGTTTTGTGGTTGAGACGGAGGTGGAGCAGAGCTGAAAACAAAAACTCGCAGTCAATTTCCAGTTATTCAGATGACATTTTGAAATTTAGGACAGGAAGTTTGTTTTGCTGCTGCCACAAATACTTAATTACTGTAATCGTTTATCAACAAATCAATTCTATTTAGTGTAACAAAAAGATTAATTAATATCTAAACTAATTGTTTTGATATTTTGTTTAGTTCTTAGTTTCCCTGCAACAAAAGAATGAATAACTAATGACAAAGTAATTAAAAAATAAATCAGCATCAAACATCAGCCAAATACTTACTGTAAACAATTTTAAGTGTCAGCTGCTTTCACACACACACACACACACACACACACACACACACACACACACACACACACACACACACACTAAACCTATTTACATGGCAAGTTTAGTTGCATTAGAGTATCTGGAAATATTTTTGCAACTTTTAGAATAAACACAGGCAAAAAAAATGGACCAAATGCCAGAACTGACTAATTAACCATCTTAATATGGCCCTGGACAATCTAGCAGTAAAACCAAAAAAGAAAACCCTCAAAAATTAAAAACAGGCAGGGAATGACTTCAGGTAGCCTTTACTGCTATTTAACTTTACTAGAGTACAACATTTTTAATCACTCTTTAGTATAGACACGAAAAATTGTGACAAGTTTTTAGGCCATTTAAATGCTTATATAGCATTAAGTGACTTTTCTTTAATGTTAGTAATATTTTCCACTGTAACAGTGTTTTCTCTTTCTTTCTTTCTTTTTAAAGGAAAGGACATGCTAATATTAATGGGAATGGACCTCAGTATGCAAAACTGTAAGATGCAAATGGCAGATTTGTGCAAAACTGCTAGTTTACATTGTAGTTTTGATTCAGTTACCAAGTGTATGACCCTTCACTTGCTTAAGCTAAGTTGGTACGGCTGTCTGTGAAAAATATGTTCCCTCCTGCCCTACAGTATGGCAAGGTCAGTCCATCCCTGTGAAGCACCATGTAAAATCCATTTCAAGTGCTATCACATCAAAGGTATGTTTGAATGTCCTTCATCATTACTATGACTGCTATTCTCATTCTCTGTGTTTTTTTGCAGGTGCTGAATATTTTAAATGATTTATTAAAGAACTCTCTTCATGTGTGGAGGGCCTTGACTGGTCTACAAAAAACACAGAACTCAACTTCAACTGCTTTCAGCACCTTTCAAACCGGGAGCCAGTGCTAATCAGTGATATTCCTCCACAAAGTCACTTGTGGACAAAAGCTTTGAAAATACCCAATCCTTCAGTGTCCTCATACATTTAACACAAGAAATAATTTTCTTACCTTGCAGGAGCAGAAAATTCTCCCCAAAGAAGATCTGAACTAGTGTTTGACTGAACCACTGTGTTGGAGTTACTACTGTCCAGCTCCAGCAGGCAGCCTGACAGACGGAGACAGAAGCAGAGCTCATTAGCCTACGAGCTGGCACAGATTTTACTCATTTTCTGCAGCCTGAAGCTTGAAGACGAATGAGTCATCTAACAGCCACTAATTAACACAGTGCCTGTGGAAACGGGTCACTCGTGTACTCATGTTAAAGCTGCACAAAGGGGAACATCCCACCTGACATCCTGTGTGCACTTTCATTTCCTGATGAAGATGTTTATGTAAAGTCAGTTTGCATACCTGTCGCTGTGCTTCCCATCTGTGGGACGATGTTGTGATTCGATAACCCTGATGAAGGAGGAGGGGCTATCTTGCCTCCAGGTGGTGGTGGGAGAAGTCCAAATCCACCCGATCCTTGTGGGCGGGGCTTATCCCTCTTTTTCCCTTGCTGCAGATGGAGAAGAATGAAGTTAGGCTCATGCGATGACAAAAACAATGTATTTCTTCATACTTCATTGATAGTTAAAGAATTGGATCACAAACTGTAACCTTCAAATTTAATCAGGATTTTCATTTTTATGGGGTATTTCGGTTTTGTTTTTTTAAATGAGACTTAAATGTAAGTTTAATAAGAAATATCTGTATTCATTTGTCTGCCTGCACTCCTGGGTGCTCAGGCTGTTCTTCTGTCCTTTGCATCACTGTCAAACTCAATTCTGTTGTCATCACTGGTCCAATCATTTTCATGACTCATTGTGTCATTCTGCCTTTCAGACTCATTTGTGTGATCTGCCTCCACCCCATCCTTCAACAGCACAGCCCTGCATGTGCCTCTTTTATAGACAGATTTTTATCTGCATGTATTGTATATGCACATAAGCTGGTTCTCACCCCTATGTTGAGTGTGATGGTCTGCCCTTCCTTAAAGCCCAAGTCCAGCTTTGGTCCTGAATCCCCAAGCTGGGCATTTTTACTGAGTTCGGTCTCTTGTTTCACCCATCTGCAGAGAAGCAAGACACACAAACACACACTCTCAGCACTGATACAGAAATAAACAATGCACCTCAGCAGTTTTAACAACAACCACAGCAGCTTTCTACAAGCGCATCTCAAAAACAACACTTCACTTTGATGTGGAGTGCTTTGTTGCAGACAGTTACAGTGAAAGAGAAAAATCAATACTCTGAATACCATTAAAGACAGGATGTACATCTGATGCGTATTAGATTCCTCAAACACTCAGAATTTACTCATTTTAAACAAACCTTTATTTAAATGCAACAGTCTAGCACACAGGTTTGATGAGCCCCTAAAACACTTGGTTTAAATGGTCAGACTTTCTCCCTCCTTTCTTAAATATTTCATATTGTATGGTTGAACCAAAACCTAAACAAACTTTTTTTCAGCTTACTGCTTCCCAACAACCACCAGCTAGGAGGCAGGAGGAGTTCAGAGGCTCAGGGTAGAGCCACTAGATGTGGCTCAGATGCCTCCTGGTGCAGGCTGCAAATACTTCAGTATCCCAGGTAGAGCTGAAGGAGGTGGGCATGTAGGAAGAGGGTGGTCAAGGCATCCCTGCTTAGACTGGTGCCCTTGCGACCCAGATCCAGATAAGTGGCAGAAGCATGGATGGATGCACCCAGCTCTGCTGCTTGTTATATTCATTTCTGAACAACTTCAGCCGGCTGAAGGCCTGTAAGGGGAATGAGGGCAGTACTACTACTTTTACTCAATATCATTCTGCATAGGAACATACAAATATCAGCATGTTTTTGGTCGGTTGCTTATTTGTGGTGTCTTGATCTGAAACTTCAGGAAATTCTGGCGTGGTCAGAATGGCTACTGGATGATTTGGCATAACCAGTGTTTCACAGACATTACATGTTTCAATCCCCTGCTATCAGATTGTCAACAAAAAACAGAAAGTAATCCACTAAAACCACCAAACCACCAAATCCTGCTTACTTGAAATGATCCTGCAAAGCCACGTTGAAGTCAAAAGCATCCCCTCGGTCACCAAAACCAACTCCTATGAAAGCACTGCGACCTGCCAGTAAGAGATGATAACTCACATTAAGACCAGCAGAGAAAGGATTTAAGTCTTTGAGCAAGGTTAAGAAATACTCTGGAGTTGCCGGGGTACTTAAATCCTCACCGTTGTCATCCTGTATCCGCAGGACAAAGTAGCGGCTGGAGTCGCTGACGGTTTCCACTGCTATACCAGGATACTCCTTCACTGGTGCCTGGGCAAACAGCTCCCCTGCAACAGCAGAGGAATGTTAAACCAATACAATGCAGAGAGGAAAAGTCGTGCTTCAGCACAGATGGGTCATAATTCTCAGTGCAAACATCACCACTAGCGTGACTTTCACGTTACAGCAAGTCGGTGTCAATTTTACTATAAAAATATAGTTTTAATGTAGTTTTTAGTGCTAAACCCAGTGATGTCATACCTGAGATTTTGTCCTCCAGTTTAACGTAGGCTGCTTTGCCCTTGGCTGTGATCCTCATTCGACCTGACCAGTCTGGAGCATCGAGCTTCCAATCAGCTGCCCTGCAGAAATTATTTGACATAGTTTAGCATTTTCAGAGCTGCAACTATCAGTTAGTCTGGTTACATTTCAATTAAATGTTAGTTATTCTCTCTGTTAATTGCTTTGTCTCTAAAGGAAAAAAAAAACATTGTAAATGGCTTCCAAACAAGACAAAGAAATCAGGAAAATGCTCCAACTCAGGCTATTAATACAGTACATTTCTGCTTAAAGAATAACCCAAACCTGGCTTTTGAGGTGTGATTGGCATAGTGGATTACAGGGCTTGAGGCATACTAGAGTGCATAGACATTTACCTATTTGCATATCACCAAATAAAGCTACAAAACAGACAATGGAAAGAGAAGTGATGCTTCTTGTAATGTATTTTTAATTCTTAGAGAATTTAATAACCTTTAGATTAAATGATTAGAATCCAGGGCTGCTTAAACAGTTATTTTCATGTCATAATGTGGCCTCATGAGTGCTGATAAAAGTCCAATGAGGTTTCACTTGTTTCACTGACACTAATATGTACAAAGTCCAAAGTGACTTCTTTTTATTGCTTATTTTGAACAATGAAATCCAGAGATTCAGTGATATTTGGTTGAAAATTTATATTTCTAACATCTAACAAATGTTTGAAGGTGGTATTGAAAGGATTTCTGTATTTTAAATGAGGAGAATCTTTATTTCCTCTCTCTGATATTTCTTGATTTAGGTGTTCATTTACTTTCATTATTGCAGTTTTAATATGTGCTGCCTCAGGAGCCACAAACCACTAGTGGAGGCTACACGTGGGATTATTTATTTAATTGTAAAAGCAAATATCCAAGGTTATTGCTTTAATGTGGTTATGTCATGAAAAGTAATTTTACTTTTTAGCAGTTTAATTTAAAATACTATTGAAAGTGTAAGAGCATTTTACAGAGAAATGGGTAAAAATGGGCCCATTCCTCCATTCTTACCCCTTTAAAAGAAATCTTGAGCCTCCTGGTTTATCTCCAGAGCCCTTTTAGATGTTCCAGAATTACAAAGCAAATTACTTTGATTACACTGAAAATATGCATTTATTTTACACATTGGAGCTCTGGCTCACAAACAAAAAGGGTGGTAAAAGCTCACACTTACACGTCACCTTTTTTTAAACAGAGATTTTGTTTTGGGTTATATTTTTGTGTTGCGTGATCAATTCAAATTATTTTTAATTAGTGTAATTTATTACTAAATTTATGGTCTGATATTCTTCTACACCTGCAGTAGAGGGGTGCACTAACAAGGTCCTCTTAGAGTCATGTTATTCCACAATACTCGGCTTGGCCTTCAGTAACACTTCAGGAATTTTGTAGTCGTTTTTGACCAAGATATCAGCATGCATGACAGACAAATATGTAGGACTGCTTTCTTGCATTTGGCAATATCGCTAAAATTAGAAATACCCTGTCTCAGAGTGATGCTGAAAAACTAGTTCATGCATTTATTACTTGACTACTGTAATTCATTATTATCAGGGTGTCCTAAAAACTCCCTAAAAAGCCTTCAGTTGATCCAAAACACTGTAACCAGAGTACTAACAGGGACTTGGAAGAGAGAGAGTATATTTCTCCCATTCTGGCTTCACTTCACTGGCTCCCTGTTAAATCCAGAATCAAATTAAAAATCCTTCTCTTCACATACGAGGTCTTGAATAATCACCATCTGATCTTAATGACCACCGTTTACTGCATCACCCCAACAGAGCACTTTACTCTCAGATGGCTCCCTGATTTTCAGTTTTAAGCCCCCCCACGTGGAACTAGCTAGGAACTAGGAGGTTTCTTTTAAAAGGGAGTTTTTTTCTTCCCACTGTCACCAAGTGCTTGCACAATTGAATTGAATTGGGGGGTCAGATCTCAGGTTAGGTCAGGTGTTTTACCTGACAGTATTAAGCGCCTTATGGCAACTCTTGCTGCGACATTCCACTATAAAAATTTGACTTATTTAAAAAGATTTTTTTATTAATGGCATGTTTCTTAGAAGTATGAACTAATTAACTGTTGGTATTTACTATTATCATTACTTCTCTAATTTGTAGAGGTACGATTTGGGGATTATTCTTAAAATCTCAAAAGAGGTATATGTAATTATTAGGAAAAAAGTGTTTGAACTCTTTGATTTAATTGCTTCTGTGACTGGGACAGAGAACTCCATAACATGGTTGTACGGGAAGGTATCATGGCTGCAGCCAACAATTTTCTTCATTCCTAAATAAAAAAACCCATTAACTTAGATTGAAAAAACAAAAGCTGTTAAGCTGACTAACATGGAAACTATGGAATTAGCAAATGTTCACATATTAAAAAATAAATAAATAAATAAAAATAAAAAAGCAGGATATCAGCTAATAATTTCAGCTGGTGGGTTTCAGGGAACAGGTGCAGGGAGAAAGGAGTGCTTCAGCACATCTTTGCCCGGCTCCAGGAAGTTAATACAGCCGTGCAGCAGAGCGGGATGGATTTGAAGATTTTATCTGAAAGGATCAATTAAAAGCAAACACAGAAGATTTCAGACTGAAGAGCCTGAACAGTTTGTGGAGAAGACATCCCAGCTGTCACAGAGGAGAGTGGGACTATCCTGGCAAGCCGCCCGTATCGAGCCAGCATGATGACAAATACCCCCGGTCACATCTCTGACAGCTCAGCGAATCCCCGCACACCAAACAACCAACATTTCAGCCTCTCTTCATCTTCGCAACACCTGGAGATGGACTTTCATCTCATCAGCTGCTTCCGACATCAGAGCATAAAGCCAGCACTGTCCCTCTCCGTGATTTGTAAAGCATGCGCTGACTATCGAGCAGTTAAAGTACAACACCCAAACCCGCCCAACAAACACATTTAAACTGCATTTCACAGCAACGTCAGCGAGCCACTGGTGTGTCTTTACCTGTACGCTCGGTTTGAAGCTCGCGGCGGGATACGGTAAACGTTGACATCGGGTTTAACGCACAGGATCGACTCGTACTCTCCCTCGGCCGCCATCTTGGTCCAACTGTTATTGATGTGGGAGTTGTGGTAGTGACTCATTTATTCAGCTCTTTTCAAACGGGGGCATGTGTGTGTATGTGTGTATGCGTGTGTGTGTGTGTATGCATGTGTGTATGTGTGTATGGTTCAGGGGGACCTAACTGACACACGACGTCATTTAAAGCTTAGACCGTAACCGTAGGCAACAGAAAAAAATTATACTTTACTACCATAAAACTGAATGATATTTTAAATTTTAAACAAAAGAAAATTATTTTTTGGCACAAAAGAGAACTAGATTGTTTATATTGGGAATTTAAATCAATCAATGAATAAATAAATATATAAAGACATAAATAACACTAATTTTGAGAGGGGGCGTGGCCTGGCAGGTGCTGAAAACTGCGGAAGCGGAAACCGTCCGGTCGTGTCGTCTCCTCGAAGATTCCTGAATATCTGCTCATGGTTAGTGTTTTATTTTTACTGTAAATATGCATGTTTGATATGCAAAACGTCAGTTGTAGTTTTGAACTAAAAGCAGGGGACGTTTCGTGGAATATATCCCACCATTTGAACACTAAAATCGGATATTTATGATGGAGCTCGCTGCCTTGACAACACCGCTTGGCTGTTAGCCATATTGACGCCTGCTGACCGTCTTCAGTCGCTCTCCGAGGTCCTGAAAACACCTACCCTGACTCTTGTTACAAACACCACGACTGCGTATCCTAAGACTAAGTATCCAGTTGCGCTAAACATGCAATTCTATCTTTTCTTTTCTTAAAATTTGTCTAACATGCCCTGGTAGCTAACTAGCTTGTAGCTCAGCTAGATTCTGAGCTAACGTAGGTGGGGATATATGTTTGTCGCAGTGACAAAGCTGTCACCTACATTAGGTTAGTTTACGCTTTGCAGTCAGTTATGTGTACCTCCCACTGGTCAGCTCTTTTATATGTTGACTGGTTTCTCATTGCAGCGTTAGGATCTGGTTTCTGACATCCTCAGACAAACCAATGCAGGCAGGAGGAAGAGGGGATCAGCAGGATGAATGCTAACTGAGCCAGGAGCTGCACAAATACAACCGAAAGTTAGACTTTTACAACAGAGGACGATTTTACTGAAGGTATGTCACTGTGTTGTTCATGCGCGAGAACATATAGTTGCATTGCATATGATTTGTGTATTGATTACTGTTATATGTGGCATTGCCATCGTCAAAATCAATTGAGTTGTAGATTAAAAAGCAGGCCAGTAGGTCAGAGTTGTATTGGTCCAGAGTGAAGTACAAAAAAACCATAACTTTATATGCAGCTGCAGACTGGGTTTTGGGGTTTTTTCGGGCTAAAAGGGAAACCAATATTCATAGCTGAATGAAAGAGCAGTTCTTTGACTGTGTCTTTCACAGTGTTTTTCTCCATTTGTGGCATCTACACCATGCATGACATTTAGATTTTTATATAAGAGTTTTGCCTCTGCACTAGCAACTATAATGATTCCTACCATCTGACAAAAGTGTTAACGGACTGCTTTTTAGTTGTTGGGTTTTTTTAGGTTTTAGTTTGGGGGCTTTTTTGAATTCATTTAATAGCACAGTGAAGATTACACAGGAAGGTGGGGGATGGGACACACAGCAAATAACCTCAGGTTGGAGTCAACCATGGGCTGCTGCATCTAGCCTTGCAGCATATCTTGACTATCAAGCATCCACTTTAACAGAATTTTCTAAATAATTAATTAAAAAAGTTTGTGCATATGCATGTTGTAGTAATAACAACAAATAAAAAATGATTGTCACTGAATGACAAGGCAAAACTTGGCATTAACATGCCTCGGCGAAGCATTAGGGAAACAGTGGCTAATTCCCGTCTCGGCCCTGCAGGTGGTCTATCATTAAAGCTCGAGTCCTCTACCACAGGCCTAGGATTTTGAGGGTCCTGTGCAGTATCTTTGATGTTCCTAGGACTGCGCTCCTCTGGACAGAGGTCTGTTGGAGCCACTCGCCTAGCTTGGGGGTCACTACACTAAGTGCTCAGATCACCGCTGGGACCACTGTTACCTTTACCCTTGACAACTTCTTGAGCTCTTCTCTGAGCCCTTGGTACTTCTCCAGCTTGTTGTGTTCCTTCTTCCTGATTTTGCTGTCATTCACTATTGTTGCAGCCTCTTCCTCTGCTTCTCCACCACTACTATGTCTGGTTGGTTAGTTATCTCTAGTTTGTCTTTCTGTATCTGGAAGTCCCACAGGATCTTAGCTCAGTCATTCTCGACCATCCTAGGGGGCATCTCCCATTTTGACCTTGGAACTTTTAGGTCATGCTCGGCACGGATGTTTCTGTATACTTTGCCAGCTACTTGGTTATGGCGTTCCATGTGTCCCCTGCCTGCTAGCATCTTGCACCCTGCTGTTTGTTTGCATTTGTTTCACATTTCACGTTCAACATACCTTGCCCATATGTAACTTAGAGGTCACTCAAATTTATATCCATGATGGAATTTTGTTCAAGTCGGAGTGAAGTTTTCAAAAAGCTGTGTAGGCCTGGCCTGGATTTATTATAATAATAATAATGATATATAAAATGGCATCATTTATTAGTATATTGTCTGTTTTTATGAATGATATAAAACAGGAAAGTATAAAATAACTTGAACTTTAGAAAATAAATGTCATAGAGCTATTGTGACTTCCCTTTTGACTCACCCTGTAATGCTGCAGGTATCTCTGCTATAAAGACAGAAGCAGGACGGTCAAATTTAAAACTGACAAACTCACTCAGTTTATTTGTATAGATTATACAGCTGTCGGTGTATAAAACAAACAGGTGTTTGATGGGAGGATCTCCTTTTCATGTTAAGGGCTACTGAAGAAATAGCTTGATAAACGACTCGTGGGCTTTTTAATTGTAAAGGTTTGATTGTGATTACAGAAACAAAGTGTTGCTGTTTGAAACTATAGAAAAAAAACTCCAC